TTAAACATAATCTCGGTTTAACTTCAACTTGTAAATTGTCCACAAATTTCAACAAGTGTTAAACATATTTTTCTTTCTTCTTCTCTCTGCCCCCTGCATGGCTTTCGCATGCTCTTTTGTGGACCTTATAAAAGGTCTTCAACCTGGCTAACTGCAGTCTGACCTTGTATGTTTTCTTTTTATCTTCTGGGATCTGAGATCTGCTCACTGAGCTCTTCTCTTCTCGGGCTTAAGTGCCAAGGTCTTGTCTGCTGGAATCTAGGATCTGCTTTCTCAAGTTGAGCCCTTCTCTTCTCGGACCTACTCATATAGGCCGAGATCATGCGTTCTGGGATCCAGGATCCAAGATCTAGAATCCGGGATCTGCTCACTTAGGATGAGTTTTTCTATACTTGAATGTTATCTCCTTAGGAGCGTTCATGCCCCCCTGTCTTTGCATCCCTTCTGGAAGGGTTTTCGTTCCTCTGCAAGTATCTATCCTTCCATACCTGGAGGTCATCTTCGTTGTAGTATCCGCTTCGATCTGTTGTTTTTGGTGCGTCACCTTTCTGGTCGGCATCTTTCACTCCGTGACTCTGGTCACGAGTTTCTGTGTTGCGGTCGTCCCCTTCAACGTTGAGGTTGATAGGTCTCTCACTCCCAGCAGGAGCATTGTCTCCAATCTGATCCTTCCGTCCGTCATTGGCCATCTATTCTTCTTTCTTTCCCACAAACGGCGCCAAATTGTGTGAGTGATTTTCTGATCACACTGCCCGCTTAGTAACCAGCTGGAGAGCACCAGCAGAATAGATGGCACCTGGCTGACCTACAACAGAAAGAGAAGATTCCGGCGGTGATTCGTCCACCCGGGGGCACTCCGACGATCAAGTCAGTATATCTCTCAAAGATAAATCAAGGGCTAAACTCACAAGTTTGAGTATCAAAATCATACCTTATAGGGGTGTATACGGTCCGGATTGGTTCGGTTTTGAGAAAATCCAAGAACCGAACCGATCCTAATGGTTCTGTGATTTTGAGAACCAGACCAGACCGTTACACTTGTAAAACCAGACCAGAACTAAACCGAAAAAACGGTTCGGTTTCGGTTTGGTTTACGGTTCCAAAAATTTCTATTTACAAGAATAAATTGTTAATATTAGCAAAATAATTACTCCAATTAATTACATTTAACTCATGATAAAAACTACCAATATTAAGGCATTACTTAATATTACATATCTATATCATCCTAATATCATTAAAATTATAAAAAATCAATTAATAGAAATAAAACTTGATATTATATTATATTATATATATATATCTTTTAAAATTCAGTTCGGTTCGATTCGGTTCGAACCGCGGTTTTTTCATAAAATCCGTTAACCGAACCGTTTTTACGGTTCTCATATTTCTTAATCCGAAACCGAACCAATTCTTAATGGAACCGAACCAAACCGCATGATTCCGTTTGGTTCGGTCCGGATTACCGGTTTGAACGGATTTTTGAACAGCCCTAATACCTTAGACCCATGGGGGTGCCTCTCTTTTATAGCCAACTCAATCCTAGTCCCAATAGAAGCCTAACTTCTATGGACTCAGGGTTACTGCTAATCTTGGACTCCCAGTAAGATTAGGATAAACTCTCTAAGTGTCTTATCTTAACACAAACTGAAGTCTTCTCTTATTCTAGGACTCTTGTCCCTCATCTGCTTATCTCGGATTCCGATATCTTCGGAGGTAACCTCGGCCTATCCGAGATGACCTCGGTATAACAATCAGGACATGTGGCACCTCGGCTGGCACCTCGGCGTCACCTTGGCCACGTGTTGGTACTCAGAAAATATATCCCCACAGCTTGGATGTTTGTCTATTTGAAATATTTGCAATGCCTCATGAGCAGCCGCATCAACTTTAAGAACAAGAATCTAATGTTATTGAATTAGTTATTATTTTCTCGGGTGAAGACTAAAGAAGAGAACTTGAAGGCCACAGTAAATAATTTTTTTTTAAAAAAAAAAGCATGCCCAGTGAGAGATAGAACCACAAATGATTTGGTTACTTTAAGAGGTTAATGTAATTTATCATATATATATATTTTTAAATTATAGAACACATTGTCAGATATGTGTTGTGTGTATATATATATATATATAATATACTATGATTATATGTGTTGTTTAATTGTTTTGGTTAAATTACCCCAGTGTGTTCATGAAAAAATTATTACATGTACATGGAGAATTTGATAATTTTATTCCTTAATAATGGTAAAATTTATCATTAATTTGTAATTATTTTTATAATTTTAACCTGTTGTGAAATTTTCCCTATTTTGTTTCCTTAAAGGTTGTCATATAATTTTAATCTTTAATATTGGTTAAAAAGTATAATACACAGTCAATAAAATAAAATGTTATGTTTTTTGCATATTTTTTTTAAAAGGTCAAAAATTAACTTTTAATTTACTTTTTTAAAAGGTCAAAAATTGTGTACTTGCTTGATCCGATTAATTCTAAAATAGACACAAGCCTTGAAATTGTAATAAACATGTAAGTTTGGATAGTTCGTACATTTTTAAGCAACTTGAGTTTGCCTAAAAATATTTTGACTTTTGAAATTTCTTTCATAAAGTGCTTTGAAAATTTATAAAACTACCCAAAGGAGAAGGAGGACCAATCCAGTTTGGAAAGTAGTTCAGGTAATCAATATTATTTTCTCTAATTTTATCATACTCATATTTATGCTAATCGTTGTTCAGCTTGATCATAACACTTTATATGTAGTTTCTAATAATAATGAAAATGCTTTCATGTAGTCCCCGCAACAACCTACAAATATAGAATGTGGGTTTTATGCAATGAGGTATATGAAAGACCTCATTAGAGATCAAAGCATCCAAAGAAAACAAAATGTGAGATAAATTCTAAACTTTTATTACTATTATATTCATGATACTTGTACATCTTCTTCATGATCTAATTGTTTCTAAATAACCTCTTGTAGTTCAATGGAAAAAAGGCTTACACAGAAACCGAACTTGATGAAGTGCGAGTTGAATGGATTAATTTCATACTAAAGAATATGAGTTGAAATCTAACATGTAAGTATGATATAACTTCCGTTCTTTAATTGGCTAATAAACAATTTTTTTAGTTGGAAAGGAATATATAATCACTTCAAGAACATAACAAATTTCATAAAATGTGTAAATTTTACTTCATACAAAAGCATTTGTTCAATGGAAGATAGCAAACTCAAGTACATCTTAGAAAAACTCAAAACCTTCACAAAATATCACTCTTACACTCAAGAATTTGAGATTGCTTCACACTAGATCAATCTTGTATATCACTCTTGTATTGCATGATACCCAATACAATGAATATAAGGATGAACCCAATTCGAAATATGATAAATAAATATTTTGTAATTTTTTTATTTTGCCTTTGGCATCATTTGATTTTCACTAATAGCAATTAGAAATAGACAAAGTTGGGTAGGTAATAGGTTACAAGCCAAATGTTGACTACCCTAGATACATTGTTCTCAATAAGAGCACAATGTCAATTTAGAGTTATCTTTAAATATAGCTTCTAATTTGTGATTCTAAAATTGAAATAATCTGAGATGGTAGCTTGAGACTCTCCATGAAAAGTTATTTATTGAGTGATGCTAAGCGTATATTTATTCTTGCATAAGTGAAATATGTACATATTATGGAACAACTAAAATCAACTCGATTTATTGGGTGCTATAATCATAAATCTCCAATTTCTTTGGTTTGGAAGGCTAAGTTACAAAACAGGCTTCTGAACATCACTGTTTTCAGAAATTATATGTTCACCATGATGAATAAATAATTAATTTTTTTTTTTAATGATTTTTCAAATATCATATGGTGGTTTTCTATGTTTTTTTGAAGATAGCATGTCCTCAAACATTTAATAGAAATTATATCTTTAGTGTTGATTGTTATCTTGCTTGAAAAGTGTGATTAGCGTTATGACGGTTATCCATTTTATTTTTTGATTAGCAAAGAAAATTTTATTGATGAAAAAAGACCATGAAAAGCAAAACACATGATACAACAAAAAAAAAAAGTACATATTGCATCATAGCAAAACCCTTTTATCTTAACTAGGTTAGCATGAAAGGCAAGCCCAATCAGACGCACTTTGCTATGATGCAATATGCACTTCTCTCTTTTCTATGACTGTTAGACATGATAGTGTATTCACGACTTTGCTTTGTGTATGGACAAATTACCATGAGTTAATTCTGGTTAAGTTGAAAACAAATTTGGGTCATGGTAGTTATATAACTATTTCAGACTTTCCCTTCTTTTCTATGACTCTTATACATGATAGTGTATTCACGACTTTGCTTTGTGTATGGACAAATTACCATGAGTTAATTCTGGTTAAGTTGAAAACAAATTTGGGTCATGGTAGTTATATAACTATTCTAGACTTTTCCTCCTTTAAACTTGTTCTCTTTTGTGCTCTTTTCTTCTTTTCTCTTTCATCATTTCATCTCTTTCTTCTCTTTCTATCCACTCTCTATTTATATTTTTTCTTATTTGAAAACAGATACACCAGTACATAATTGTTAAAATCTTGGTGGAATTGCTCAACACTCAAATACTGGAACTGTGGGGGATTGTTCATTTGTTTAGTCTTTTGGAGTTGACCCATCTTGACTTGGTATATTAATTGCTTTTCTTTCTCTACCTTGATTTGAGCTTTAATTTTTGTTGGGATTTAGTTTAGTTTACTCTCTCTGTTGATGTGTTGCCATAATAAATTTTTGATAAAATCTTTTCAAGGCTATGATTTACTAATATGTGATTCTGGTTAAGTTGAAAACAAATTTGGGTCATGGTAGTTATATAACTATTCTAGACTTTTCCTCCTTTAAACTTGTTCTCTTTTGTGCTCTTTTCTTCTTTTCTCTTTCATCATTTCATCTCTTTCTTCTCTTTCTATCCACTCTCTACTTATATTTTTTCTTATCTGAAAACAGATACACCAGCACATAAATGTTAAAATCATGGTGGAATTGCTCAACACTCAAATACTGGAACTGTGGGGGATTGTTCATTTGTTTAGTCTTTTGGAGTTGATCCATCTTGACTTGGTATATTAATTGCTTTTCTTTCTCTACCTTGATTTGAGCTTTAATTTTTGTTGGGATTTAGTTTAGTTTACTCTCTCTGTTGATGTATTGCTATAATAATTTTTTTAACAAAATCTTTTCAAGGCTATGATTTACTAATATGTATTTATAAATACTGTTCAATCATGCTCCATATGTATATGTCATATTTATATATAGTAATACAAACATTTTATACTAGTAATAATCAAATTTGTTATTTCTTTCTATTGATGCAGGGGATGAAGAGTCAGTGTGATGAGAAAATGTTCGATTTTGTCTTTTGTAAGACAAGAACAGTTTCTACAAAAATAGTACGTTTTTTCATATGCTTCTAGCGGTGTCTAAATTAATTTGTTTTTTTATTTTTCAGGTCAAAAATTTCTTGGAGAGATGCAAAATATGGTCAAAGAATTCAAGAACTTAGTTTTTTCAAGTTTTTATTTTTTATTTTTTAATATATGTAATCACAGTTAAAAACTTTTTATTAATTTCTTTGTACATACTTTTGAACATTTAACTTTCATTTATGAAATATATGACGTTATTGCATTCAATATATGGTTGTGATTCAAAATATAGTATATAGTGTGTATTATATTCTTCAAATGCGCGTACAAAAATAATATTGATTATTCTTCAAATATGTCGATTTTTTTTTTTAATCACAGGTTTTATTAGTTATTAATCACACTTAAAAGATGTGATCTAAATGTTATTAATCACATTATCTAAATGTTTTTAATCACACTTAAAAGATGTGATCCAAATGTTTTTAATCACACTTAAAAGGTGTGATCTAAATGTTTTTAATCATAGTTAAAAGATGATCTAAATATTTTTAATCACACTTAAAAGGTGTGATCTAAATGTTTTTAATCACACTTAAAAGGTATGATCTAAATATTTTTAATCACACTTAAAAGGTGTGATGAAAGCATTTTTTAATGACACTTAAAAAGTGTGATTAATAATGACCCCTTTTAATCACACTCCCAAAGACCACATTTTAATAAAACTTAAAAGGTGTGATTAAAAAATATACATCACACAAAAAAAGTGTGACATTTATCTGTATTTGTAGTAGTGAAAAGAAGAAAATGAAGAAAAAAAATAATGGAAGCTGAGAGGGTCTTTGATAATGGAAAGAAAGAGTGAGGTATTAAAGTTAAGGTGAGCTATATTATACCTTGAGTCACCATAATATATTTTACGTATGTTTTGACATACCATAATTTATTTTATACAAGTTATACTTTATTAGTTATATTAATATAAGTTATGTTTTATAAATATTTCAGTTACGTGGATTAATTTTTGAACTTTATTTGTTTAAAATGAAACCCATGGATATGTTTATTTATATTTTAAAGAATATTTGACTATAACCTTATAAACAATTATGTTTTGTAAGTACCACCACGAGAGTCCTACGCCTTGGGGGAATTAGATAACCGTTGACCTCTGTTTGGTCGTTTTGTGGCCCTCTGTTGTCATGGATCCATTGACCTCTGTTCTGTGCAGAGCAAAGTGCTGCTACACTATTATGGGAGCCACCTCTATAATCCGTACGAGCAACCTCTTGAATCCGTATCTCTGTTCCGACTGTCACTCCTGTGATCTTTGTTTTGTTCTGTTCGATACCGTGATTATGGTTATTTTTTTACATAATCTCAGTTTTGCCACTTAAATGGTTATTTGTTCAGACTAAGTTATTTTAAATATTTTAGTTACATAACTATCCATGGTTATTTTGTGTCCCTTATACTCTTGGCATAATATTTCTTACTCTGCCATGTGCTTATAGCCATTTACCAATTTTCAGGAAACAATGCAATTTAGAAATAGATTTTGGAAAGTCTTAGACACGGGGCTGCGAAATAGACACTGAGAGGGTAATTTATAAATAAATTGGGCCGAGCTGGGTAAATGGGCCGCGGTAAAAAGGGCCGAGTGAAAGGACTTTGCAGTTAGCTCGGTCCAATCGTACTTGGCGTTACCATGGTCAGTGTGGTGTAATTAGCTCGGTCATACCATTTTGAGCCGAGATGATTTGAGTTTTTCTCAGGACCTTGCTCTTGATTAGCTCAGTCCAAGCTTGCTATGGTTAGCTCGGTCTCGACGGACCAAACCGAGGTACAAGCAATGGAGTGAAGAACCAAGCTAGGTGGAGCTCGGTCATTTCTGCCGCTTTAGCATGGCTATGTTAGCTCGGTCGTTTTGTCATACTACCGAGGTAAAACCATCTCGCTTGGTTTAAGCAGTGAAGGGAGTGTTGAAGGATAAGCATTATCTTTTAGGAGTGTGATTCCTATGAGAACTCTACATGGAGGAATAAGAGTCCTACTAGGATTGTGCCACGCGGAACCTATAAAAGCTCACAACATCACCTGTGGAGAGGTAACACAACTTTGATTCTCGAGTGCACAGAGCTTTTGTCTATTTGTCTATTTTGCTGACTTAGGCATCGGAGAGGCATCCGGCACACACCCGTCGACTAGCTCATGTTTGTGTTTTCAGAGAGTAAAGCGACGACATTTGGAGAATGGCAGACTTGGTCAACAGGATTATACGAGAAGAATTATTTCATGCTCGTACAATTGGCACCGTCTGTGGAAAAATCAGAAAGAACAAAACCTCTTGATCAAGTTTTTCCTCTCTAATTGGAAGTAATGGCGCATAATGAAGATTTGCCACAGTCCGCTATCGACGGAAAAATCCCAGAGGGGGGTGGGAGGCGCGAAGGTTTGCCTTTCATCCCTCCCATGGCGGATTTAGAACCCCAACGACAGAACCGCCGGAGGGATGCAAGGGGGAGGCTCGTTAACAGCCCCCGTCGCTCTCAAAGTCCAGAACGACAGAGGCGGAGGTTGGACCCTCAAGTTCTAGAAGATCACGTGAAGGAGCAGGATGAGATAATAAAAAGGATGGCGGCGGACATGGAATCGATGAAGCGCCAGATAAAAGGAAAAAGGGTGGCGACAGGAGAGGGCCACAAAGGCAACACCCCCCTCCGCCACTCAGGGGATCGTGATAGGCGTACTACACCATCGCAAGCAGAGAGTAGGAGCCTGAGAACAGGCGACACTCAATCAAGGACTTCTAGGACTCGTTACTCCAGGTCTGAGAGAACGAGAACTGAGAGGTCCTGTACTGAGGGAAGCACCTATCGGCCCTCGCACATGCACCAGACACCATCTAGGCACACAGAGCTGCCCAGAACATCTGACTTGCGAACTGTGCTTGAGGAAAGGGCACGATGGAAGGAAGATATCAGGGCACGTGGCCAACATTGAGTCTCAGCCCTTCAGCAGTTGGCCCCTCGGATGCATGGCAGTGTCGAGGTAGGAATGCCAATACCGCGCCTTGCTTATGAACCAACAGACAAAGCGTTAGCAAGGCTTTAGAGCTCGCCGTTCGTTCTGGCAATTGAAAACGGACCACTACCTTCGGGCTTCAACCAGCCCAAATTCACTACATATGAGAGGGAAACGGACCCCTACATGCACTTAAGCCACTTTCGCCAGGTTATGGCGATTTACCAGCGAAACGAGGCTTTAATGTGCATCCTATTCCCATCCAGCCTTGGCGACCTAGGTTTAACCTAGTTCGAAAGGCTACCAGAGGGCAGCATTGCCTTATGGGCGCAGTTGGCAGAAGCGTTCGTAACTAGATTCAGGACGAACACCAAGACACCAGTGGAGATCGACTAGCTACTCTTCGTTGACATGGGAGAAAAAGAGTCGTTAAGGTCCTACAACAGTCGTTACTGGGAGACCTTCAACTAAATAGGAGATTGCCCCACAAATCTTGCCATCGCGCAATACAAAAGGGGTCTACGAAACAAATTAAAGGACTCAATCACTATGGTGTCACCCCTCACGATGGAGGCCTTGATGGAGCGAGTGCACCAACATATTCGCGTAGAGGAGGATGGCACCTGTGCTAAAACAAAATCCGGCACAGCAGCGACGCCAGATAAAAAGACTACGACAAAAGTCAATACGGTAAAACACCCCAAAAGGAACAGGCAAGGCAAACGGGCCAACAAAGAGGATCCAGACAAATGTGGCTAAGAGTTCGCACTACCATTACCACGATGTTCAAAAAACCAATCTACCGAATTCTCAGTGAGATACGAGATGAACCTTTCGTCCGATGGCCAGCTAAGTTAGGAGAAGTACAGAAGGACGATGATGAGAGGTCCCAGTGCACCTTCCATGATGAAAAGGGGCACCGCACTGAAATTGCATGCCGTTGAGGCAACATTTGGAGGAGTTAGTGGCGGCTGGGCATTTGGACCAGTACGTAGAAGGAGGAACACAGCCAGCCCCCCAGAACCACAACGTCCCAAACAGGATGCCGATTGACGCTCCACCTCAAGGCGTAATTAACGTGATACAAGGGATATTTGAACCTGAGCAGATATGTGAGCTCAGGGGGATGATCAAAAAGGCTGAGCATTTAAGGGAGGTATTAAGTGCACAACCTGCCATCAAAAAGGGGAGAACAAAGGCCACAAATGTCATATCTTTTTCGGACAACGATTTGGCAAGGATATACTACCCTCACAATGATGCATTGGTTATCACTCTCCGCATCAAGGATTGCGACGTCAAACGGATTTTGATCGACCAGGGAAGCTCATGTGAGATAATGTACTATGAAACCTTCAAACAACTAAAACTGGAGGACAAAGACATGGCGCCCGCAACATCTCCCCTAATCGGATTCAACTCAATGCCATAGTGGCCAGTGGGTAAGATAATCCTCCTAGTTAGAGCAGAAAGCATGACGAAACAGGTGGAATTTTGGGTATTGAAAGTCCCTTCCACTTATAATATAATCCTGGGAAGGACATGGTTGCACGTTATGCGATCGGTAGCGTCAACCTACCATCAAGTATTACGGTTCCCCAATGAAGCCGGAGTAATTGAAGAGTTCTAGGTAGACCAAATTATGTCCAAACAGTGCTTCATCACGATAAACGGCAGCCGCGCTGCCAAAGGGTATGTACAGATAGTGGAAGAACTTGAGAGCAATGAATTGTTTGCGGATGTTGGCAAAACCGCCGAACAGAAGGCAGTGGAAGACTTGGTACAAGTAAGGATAGATGAAAAAGACCCAGAAAAGTTCTTTTTGCTCGGCTCGTCATTGTCCAGCACTGAAAGAATAGAGGTTATGGAATTCTTAACCTCTAACATCGAAGTGTTTGCATGGACACCGTATGACATGCCTGGCATTGACCCAAATTTCATCTATCACCAACTGAATGTCTACCCAACTG